GGTTCTTGCAATGCTCGCATTCTAGCCCCAGGAGCTCCTGGCCGGTGGCAGAGAACTGCCAGCCTGGCCTCAGCCCTGGGCTTTACGAGGGCCAGGCCCTCCTCCCTTCTGGCCAGCTGACTCACATTAGTTGCCCTGGCAACCCGCAGCTGTGCTCATTATGTTCTGCCAGGGCTCTCTCTCCCTGGCAGTTTCCACTTCCTACGAGCAGAGCACCGAGGTGCCCTGCGACAGCCTTGTTTGGGGATATAGTTGGGGATGGTCCTACTTTGAGCAGGAGGTTGGACTAGATAACCTTCTGAGGTCCCTTCCAACCCCTAATTTTCTATGATTCTATGATTTTATAACATTAGGTACGTACATCTTGTGGGGCACAAACAAACTGGTTGGCCATTTGTGAGTGAGGGGCCTAAATCCCACTTCAGCTCATTTTGCTCATCTGTATTTTTAGGTCTATAAATATCTACAAGACCCTACCCTGAGGTACCTAATTGTTTTAAGGCCTTTTAAAAATACCATCAGACATCCTTACTGCCCCTGTGAAGATCTCAACCACCATCTTTCTGCATGCACCATGTTTCCATTTATTTCAACAGCAAAAAGGCACTGAGGCTGTGGCCCAACCTCACAGAGAAACGTGCATGTTTTTGAGTGTGTATTGCATGTCTAAGTACCGATGATGGAACTTTTAAGAAACATGACATCGTCATTTCCTAATAAAAGAAAAATAAAGAAAACCCAACTGTCATATTCTAGTCTAACCTTGTGATTCACACAGGCCAGAAATTCCCACTTTCTAATTACTATATTCAGTGCATGATTTCTGCTGGAGCCAATCATGCCGTTGAGTAAGTTGTACAGATTGGATGTATACTTTCAGGGGATGGGGAAAACTGTATTTCAGGGGAAAGTAATGATATTTTTCAGCCTTCTCAGCTGTAAAATAAAATCTAATATTTTCTTTCAAACAGGTGCCATTTTTTCCTCCATAAAGTGTCCCACTGAGCACCGCGGAATACATGTAAGGACAACGTACAGCCCTGAGTAAAGAGCACAATATCCAGCTGAATATTAGCACCATTTCACAACCAAATAATACATCATTCATGATAAGGTTGAATGGCAGTTACTCCTTGAAATAGAGAAACATTATACTAGAAGGCTGGGGGTGTAAAATTCTCCTGGGCTGCTTCACACTTATAATCAGTGATGGGAAAAATACCCTAGAACGTTATTTCATATAACATACCACAGCAATTCTCCCTTCCCCCCAAAATTTATATGCAATATGAGATAAATCTGCAGCTATGAGAAACTGCTCCTCTCACCTAATGCTGGCAGTAGTAGTAGGTTAAGTAATAATATTTGCAGTAGAATCATAATATCTAGGAATTCAAGTCATGAACTAGGAGCCCTACTTGCTAGGTGATGCACCTACCCACCCACACACATATTCACTGAACAAGGAGACAGGCCCTGTCCCAGGTTGCTTACAATCTAAAGGCGATGTTACACCTTATGCTGTGAGCCACATAAATGTTGATCGTGTCCCCCACCTGCACAGCTGTGACTTGCCACTACAACCCTGGTGAGCAGGGGCAGGACTAGGAGCTGTAACCATGAGTTGCCTATAGAGGGTTGGTGAGCCAGGACAGGCTTCTATCTTTGCTCTATGGGTGGGGCTGTAAGAGATCCTGGGATGCTGGAGGACTTCAACTTGGGTGACACATCTGTGGGAAGTGGCCACACCTTAATGGAACAGGAGCTGGGTTAGTGCAGATCAGAGATAATCCTGCCTTGGACTGGCATAACGTAGGGCCCCATAATGAATGCTTAAAACCACTCTAAGGTGTTAATGTGTGGATGATCCGGGGTTAAAAGCTCCAGGACCTGCCCAAAATTACCATGTAACAAGGCCTTGCATGCAGAAATACTTCAAGAGGTAGATGAGGACAGACTGGGGAGAGCAAGTAAAAAAGTGGTACAAGCCAGATGAAAATGAGACATTTTTAGTAGTGAATTCAAGTGAAATAGGAGCTTTACATCATTTCCACCGGGTACTAGAACTGAATGGGATCACGTCTAAACCCAGTTCAGGGATGCGCGCACACTCACGTCTGCATTAAGCTGCATTGCTTTCTAAAACAAACAATCCCACTGATATTGGGAAACCTCAGCCCCTTCCCACTTAGTGCCTTTCTCAAAGCTTCTTTGACCTCGTTGTTCCGGATGGTGTATATGAAGGGGTTTAATGTGGGAGTGAGGACAGTGTTCAGTAGAGACACTGCTTTGTTGAGGCCAAAGGAGGACTGGGTGGGGGCAGGCCTCATATACATGAAGAAAAGGGCCCCATATAGGATACTGACCACAATGAGATGGGAGGCACACGTGGAAAATGCCTTTTGCCTCCCCTTGCTGGAAGGAATCCTCAGGATGGTGGCAATGATAAGGATGTAGGAAACCACTGTGAATACAAAGGAGCTGAATATCACCACTACAGCAATAATGAAGCCAAGGAACTCAATAAGCTGGGTGTCCCCACAGGCCACCTTTAGCACTGGCCCAATGTCACAATAGTAATGGTTAATCACATTAGAAGCACAGAAAGGAAGCTGCAGGACCAGGATGATATGGGTGAAGATGGATAGGAAGCCTCCAACCCAAGTGCCCAGGGCAAGGTGCAGGCAGACTTGCGTGGTCATTATAGTCATGTATCTCAAGGGCTGGCAAATAGCCAAGTATCTGTCAAAGGACATCACTGTGAGGATGAAAATTTCAGTGAGGCCAAAAAGGAAATGGAAAAACAACTGGGCCAGGCAGCAGTAGAAGCAAATGGTCGTCCTGGTTGACAAGAGGTTGGCGAGCATTTTGGGGACAACAGCAGTGGTGTACCAGATCTCCAGGAAGGACAGGTTGCTGAGGAAGAAATACATTGGGGTCTGCAGCTTGTGGTCAGTCCTCACCACGACAATGATGAGGACATTTCCCCCAAGGGATAAAATGTACAGGATGAGAATGAGGAGGAACAAGGCCACATTCTGCCCTTGTGTGACTGGGAATCCAAGGAGGATGAATTCAGTCACACTGCGTGTGCCATTTGCCAAAAACATGTCCCAGTTCTTGAGGGGCTCAACCTGCAGGAACAAGAGAGGGGAGAACGTTGAACCTCCATCTCTGAAAACCTATCTGCAGCTCTAAAACTCTTATCGATTGTGTTATAGTTAGTCTGATCTGCTATAGGACATTGCAATTTCCAAAGTAAGAGGATATATCTATCTAGTTCAGTCTAACATCTCTGACAATAGCTAGTGCTAGACGCTTCACAGAGACCACACAGCCATGGAGTATTTTACCTATGCAAGAGATTTAGCTGCAGTTCTAAAGCATCCTAAACAAGTTTAGAGTCCACTAACACTGAATTTCAATAGGACTCAGGTCACTAGTTGTTATTTTTTTAAACCCCAGTCCTAACTCTTGCCATCACCATGCTTTCTTTTCTTTTCTTTTCTTTTCTTTTCTTTTCTTTTCTTTTGTAATATGAATTAATTTTCATATAGCAATAAAATAAAACCAATAAAAGAATAAAGTATAAACTAATAAGTAAAATGCAATAAGAAGGAAAAACCAAAGTATTACAAAATAGATAATTAAAGATACATGCTGTAAATTTAGTAGAGACTAGGGAAACGGTCTAGTTAATACGACCAACTAACAAATATACATTTAAAGGATACCAAAACTAAAAGAAATCAACTTATACACTTAACAGAAGATTAATATTGTACCATATTTCTTCATATTGATCCCCGTTATGTCTATTTGCATATGTAATATTTTCCAGTAATGCAACATGTGTAAGTTCTTTTAAAAATTAAGGTACACTTGGAATTTTCTATTTTCTTAATATTACCCATTTAGCAACCAAAAATACTGTAGTTAGCCAGTTTTTTATGACAACGGTAATGAATCTATAATCCCCAATATCTATACATCTGGTGCTGGTAGGTACCATGTTAATTTTTAGGCCTGTGTGAAGCGGCAAGTATTTGATTTGGATTCAGATTAGACTGACATGGAGGGACATTGATTCAATTCAGTGATTCGAATCACTGTCCTGACTCTATTCGGCCAGTTTGGATCTGGAGATTCGGCAATAGACTAAACAGGCAGCAGTCCTTGAGGATGCTGGACGCTGGCCTCCAGCTGGTAAGTCTGTTGTGGTGGGTAGATTGGGGAGGAAAGAGGCATGGTGGGGGCAGATCAATGCCCCCACAGTGAGGGAGGGATTACTTACCAGCTGGAGGCAGCTGTGTCCAGTGACCTTGAGGACTGTTGCCTGTTTAGTGTATGGCCAAATCTCCGAATCAGCACCAAATCTCTCCAAATCAATTCATAGACTTCTGATTCAATTCGGAGCTTTTAATGGGTCTCCCGATTAAATTTGGATTCCGAGATTTGGCCGTCGAATCGGGCCAAATATCCTCTGAATCTAATCAGCTCCCAAAGCTTCACACAGCCCTATTACTTTTAAGTATCTTAGAAAACGTTACACATGTGCTAAACCAAAAACTAGTAATTTTAGGACAAAGGAATAAAATATGATGAAGATACCCAACCTGATTTCCACATCTCCAACAGTAGTTATCCGAGGCTAACTCTACCCTGTTTTAAATAACCTTTTCTGGGGTCCAATAGAACATATTGAAGGTCTTGTTCTGAAAACAAAAATCTTAAAAGCAAATGGCTTAGAGGTTTTACAAAGTGATTCCAGATACTGTCCCATTTCTCTGCCATTATAACCAAAGGTACAAGATTACCAGCCTTAAGGATGGATTTTATTGTAGCTATATCCTTTTTTTCAGATATCTGAGATTCTTGTATCATCTTTAAATTTAAATTGAGGTTGTCCGCATAAGGGAATAAAGGGGGATCTTGTTAAATCAGAAGATCTTAAGGCTTTAATTTTCTGCAATACACTCTGTGAAGAGTTAAATGTACAGGTGACCCTTGCCAAAATCGGTGAATAAGGAGGGGGGGTGGGGGCACGGCTTTAGTGGCGATGGTGGGAGTGTGGCAGCGGTGGCAGGAGCCCAGCAGTGGAGGTGGGAGCCCAGCGGCAGCAAGTATGGAGCTCCCGAGGAGCTCCTGTAGATGTATAAAATGTATTTAAAATGCAGGTTTGGCATTCACAAAGATTTGAAACCGTGAATGCTGAACCCGTGAATAGCGAGGGTTTCCTCTAATGTTTATTTGCAGAGGCCTGGGTGAACTCCTAAGAAATGGAAATGAGTGTAATGATCCTAATTTGGAAGCTAAATACTATATTTTATTTTTCTTAACAATGTCATGGCTCACTCTAAAATTAACAAACTGGGCATTAAGATGACTGTTTCATCATAAAAAATAACTGCAAGGAAATAACTTAATCATTTTCTACATTACTTAAGATAACAGTGAGAAGTAGAATAATTATATGCCTTACTAAAAAGGAGCAGTCAGTAGACTGTACTGTGGTTGTGCCATAAGACAAAGGTAGAACAAGTTCCAGCATCTGGAAAACTGAAATCCATTACACTTGTACTTCAAATAGAAAGAAATCCCTGATACTAAAGTTCATTAGTTCTGAAACATTTTCCCAATCAATGTGTTGAACTCTCCAGCACATGAAACTTTTAAATTCTGCTTTGGCTGATTTGTAAAAAAAGATGACATTAGCTCAACCCCAAGCTGTAACCAAAGCCACGATTGAAATAGATGCTCTGGGCTTTGTCACAAAGAAGTCAGAATAGATCACAAGTCATTCATGCCTACTGGCCTTGAATTGTATGAAACAGTGGAAGGACTGAGATATTCTCCAAGAAGTTTTCAGCTTTAATACATCAGCTAAAAAGGAGTTGTTAAAATAATGCTGGTCACAGAATGGGTGGGGATCTCCTGAGTCAGTTGGTCCAGTCTGCTGATATCCAGGGCAAATTTATGACTTCCTTCATAAACAAGTTACAAAAAATATTAAAGTTAATTGCAGCTCCTACTACTGCTTTTGGGAGACTATTTCAGAACCTTTGATAGTTAGGAGCCTAATTTCCATAGTAAATCTATTCACAGCCTGTATATCCTCATCTGATCTTGTTCCAAAATTGCCCTACAAGAGCTTTTATGGATTTATGAGCAATCATTTCCACTCTCACCTTTGTTCAGGTAAAAAAAAAAATCTCTTCTAATCTCCTACTGTTCCACCAGCCCTCCCTTTCCCTCATCATTTTTCCCACTACAGAAAGGATGTGGGCAATTTGGAAAGAGTCCAGTGGAGGGCAATAAAATGGTTCAGGGCTGGGACACATGACTTATGAGGAGAGGCAGAGGGAACTGGGCTTATTTAGTCTAGAGAAAAGAAGACTGAGGGGGGGATTTGATAGCAGCTTTTAACTGCCTAAAGGATGATTCAAAAAAAGATGGAGCTGGACTTCTTCTCAGTGGTGGTAGATGAGAGAACAAGAAATAATGGTCTTAAGTTGCAGCAGAGGCAATTTCAGTTGGATGTTAGGAAACATTTTCTCACTAAGAGAGTGGTGAAACATAGGAATGGGTTACCTAAAGAGGTGGTGGACTCTCCATCCTTGGAGGTTTTTAAGGCCAAGCTCAGCAAAATCCTGGCTGGGTTTATGTAGGTGGGGATGGTCCTGCTTTGAGCAGGGGGTGAGAATTGTTACCTCTTAAGGTCCTCTTCCAACCCTCATTTTCTATGATTTTCTATGATCTTAGTAATGATCCTCTTCACCTGTTCTACCAGAAGATAGAAGAGGAAACCAGGAGGGTCCAAGTCAGAATGCTTCAAACTGGCACAGCACCTGGTATTGCAACTTCAGTTTCCTCCCAAATGGAAATCCCATATTCAATTCAATTCAATTCAATTCAATTCCCATCATTTTATGCATTAACAGGGAATTCTCATTGTAATAACTTGTTCAGTTTTGGTCACTCCATCGCAGAAAGCATTGGCAAAAATCAGGGCAGTAAGGAAAATGACTGGAGGAAAGGCAACACATCCAGGGCATGGACAAACATGCACCCTGAGACATTAACACAGAGCAGAAATGACCCATAGGCTGAGTAACACATAGCAGAAATTACCCGTATACATAGACCTCCCACATACAAAAATATAGCTCTACTCATCTACCAAAATATGTCCACATGTGTTTCTTCACACACTTGCCTCCACATATGTACTTACATAAGTTATTCTCACACTCCAACACACATATGAACACAAAAACCTATACATCCAGTTAAAAACCCTATTCACATGCACACACAAATAGACACCTTTACACACATATATATAACCACAAGTGGAATATGTGCTCACTCTGATACTATACTAAAAAAATACAAACAGCTCTGCATTTCTACACCACACACACACTCTTACCAATAAATCCTTTCCCTTACACACAGATATATTTATCTCTGCCCAGAAGAAAGATACTCACATTGGCCTTTCAGCTTGAAAGATTGAGAAAAATATTCCCTACAACCTCTTGGAAATTTATTTTGACTTTCTATTAGAAAAACCTCTCTGTCTGCTCACTATTTTCCTGTGCAGTATATGCCTCCTGCCTACCCACCTGTCTGTTTACCCAGATACCTTGCTATCCAGAAAAGTTGAATCCCCAACCCAGAAAGAGTATCTTACGACTGGGAGTTGTAGGTCTGATGCGCTCACTCTACAGTTAGGGGCTGCTTCTTCTATTAGACTGATTTTTATTTTACAGTCTTTCCTTTCTTCTATTAGACTGATTTTTATCTTACAGTCTTTCCTTTTTTTTAGGTCTCCTTCCAAAGCCTTGAGGTTCTTCCTCTACGGGTATTTATGGTGCCACCCCCCAGGGGCTGCCTGAGACCAAGTTATTAATTTAGTATTGATGCTGGATTAAGCATCTGTCTTCCAGCATTTTGCCTGGGTTTGCTTTTTTCTACAGGATCTAAAGAGAGCTAAAGGAAGGGTACTGTAATACACAGAAGCTTGTCTAAGTCTACCCTAACCCATGAAATTGGTCCAAGGAAAGATATCACCTGCAAAACTCCTTTTTTTCTTTTTGTGAAGATC